CGAGCCAAACACCTCACCTTGCAGTGTCTCGCCGAAGTGGGAATAGATGGGGCTCTTGGACACGGATTCGATGCGCTTGAGCTGTCTCGAGGAAGCGATGTATACGATATGAATCAAGTAGTAGATGACCGCGATGGGGAGGATGAAGAAGCCAGCCTCCGGAGTCGCCGCTAGGATGACTGCCATTGTAGAAATCACCTGGAGAGAAGCCACGTTGGTGTGAAGCGAATGGTGTGTCGCGGTGAAGGTTTCGATTCATAACAAGGCTTTGTGGTGTTTTAGTGATGTGAGTGTATAGTGCTAGTGTGTGCTTACTCGTATGCAGATTATGTTTGAGACATGTTTCTTTAGTCTAGATCCTCATACTGCGTTGAGAATGGTATATTACATTGGAACTATAATAGCATTATCCCATTTATATTTTGATTTTGCTTATGTTTCATCCGTTCGTTCGTTCGTTCGTTCGCACACAAAGAAAGCAGGTTATGTGCCGACTGAAATCATATTCCTTGTGACTGTTGAAATTGCGTTACTTGTATGTTAAACGGGATGGTATTTGACAACGTGAATATTAAAGAATGAAACACACACGTATATAGACATCCTATTATGAATCTTTTAGAATCATATATTTATGATCATATCATTATTATTATCACCATAATTAATACAATTACTATGTTATTTATGATCATTATTATCATAATTAATACAATCACTATTGTCATCATCCTCATTCTCATCATTATCATTATCGATACTATCGTCATCATGAACACAGCGACCCGAGGGGCTATCCCGACAGGTAAAACAAGGAAGAGGAAGGGAAGGGAAGGGAAAGGGCGAGAAGAGCGCCCCTTCGCCGTACCTGAGTAACGCACACCAGCATAAACCGCGTGCTGTCCGGGAGTGTGGTGTCCAGGACGTTAACTTCCTTGCTGAAGCGGTTGATGATCCTCCCGCTGGGGTTGGTGTCGAAGAAGCTCATGGGCAGACGCACCACGCTGTCCAGGAGGCGCTGGTGGAGGACCTGCGACGACCGGAGGCAGCCCAGCAACAGCATCAGCATCCCCGCGAACAGGAAGGAGACTGCGGGAGAGGGGGAGGGAAGGTGAGAGAGGAGGAGGAAGGGAGAAAAGGGAGACGGGGTGAGAGAACGGGAAATAGATGTGTGTGTGTGTGTGTGTGTGTGTGTGTGTGTGTGTAGGTCGGTGGGTGGGTGTAGATATGTATGTATACAGTATATGTGTGTGTGTACATGGGTGTGGGTTAGTGTGCGTGTGTATGCGTGTGTGTGTGCATTACGTGCGCCATGCTCAGCCTTACCTTGCGCAACACCGAAAGCGCCATACACAACCAGGAAAATGTCTTTGCTTATAACAAAGCCACTGGACACGGGATCCAGGCCTGTGTCGTTGGTGAAGTCATATGAACTGGTGTTGAGGTCGCTTGTGTTGCTGTGAGCGCTGGTGTCGAGGTCATGTAAACTGGTGTTGACGTAAGAGGCGCCTGAAGAAGGGGATGCTTCGCCTGCGCTGGACCAGTACGACAACCATACATTGCTGCCGGCGATGCAGGCCTGGAACGCCAGCGGGCTCAGTTAGATATAAATAGGACAATATATATGTATATTATATATATATATATATATATATATATATATATATATATATATATATATATATATATATACATTTATATATATATATACATATATATATATATACTATATATATATATATATATATATATAATATATATAATATATATATATATATATATATATATATATATATATATATTATATATATATACGTGTGTGTGTGTATTCAAAAATCTATGTATACATATTTTTTTTTTCTATTTTGCTAGTAATCTCCCCATCATTAATTTCATAAATTTGTCGATATTTTTTCGCTAGCCTCTCTTCCTATTCTATTTCAGTTTCTATTCCATCTATTTCTCTATCTACGTATTTGCAGCACACCTATTACCACCTCAAACGAAGAGGCAATTGTGGAATACAATATCCACATAATCATTATGTAACACTGTAAAGCTTCAGGTGCTGTTGATAGCCAAGTTCAGTAAACTGAAGAATGAATGCAGCGAGCTAAGCGTTTCCATTGCAGAACTGTTCACCATAATAACTATTGCAATTGTTATGATAAATATCATAAATGCCATGATAATTCATAATATAATGATAATATATAATTCACTGAAGTTACCCTTATATCGATAGACCAATGCCACAACTCCACGGTAACCAATATCTATACAAAAAATCCTTATGATTTAAATATTCCATTGGTCAGCCGCGACGCAGCGCATCAAAGCATATCTATAGTTTTTAAACCACTGAAAAGGTGAAATAGGCTACGTCTTCTACTCTGACTCGCGTACAACATAATTCTTCAAATAGTTCTTACACAACCGAAACTATAAAGGAAAATGAAACGATTTTAGTATCAATGGATTCCTCATTCTCTGCCATCCAAATGTATATCAATTATTTACGCAGAAACCCCCATTAACGATGATCTTAGTACCGATAGCTGGTTATGGATGGTTGAAGGAGAATTGTAGGGTCAAAATATAAATAATAGTCTAGTATTCTATTCTAGCCTTCGTGCCCTCCCTTGCTAGTGAGAGGAGTCCATGGATACGAAAATCATCGCGATCCGGAACTATCTGTCTGTTTGCATGTCAGTCTCTATCTCTATATCTCTATATCTATTATCTCTATCTTTAACTCTCTCTCTCTCTATCTCCATATCTATCTCTATCTCTATCGCTATCTTTATCTCTCCCCCTCCCCTCCCTTTCCATCTCCCTCCCTCCCTTTCCCTTTCCCTTTCCCTTTCCCTCTCTCCCTCTCCCTCTCCCTTTCCCTCTCTCCCTCCCCTCTCTCCCCTCCCCCTCCCTTTCCCTTTCCCTCTCCCTCTCCTCTCCTTCTCCTATCCCTCTCCCTATCCCTCTATTGCGTAAAATTACCAACAAATGAAACGAGAACAAAAAGGAGGAAAATACACAAACCTGCGCAAGAGACATGAAGACGATCGGCAGAACGGCGAGGCACACGCCCATGGATTTCCCGTAAACCAGGTACATCTTCCTCGACACCTGCGGAGAGAACGGGAACGGGTCGTGAGGTTGGCGGTGGCAGAGCGGGGTTTTGCGTCTCGTTTTTTGAGGTTGGTGAATTCTGTGTTTGGTGGAGAGAGAGAGGAGAGGAGGAAGAGGAGGGAAAGAGAGAGTGAGTAACAGAGAGAGAGAGGGGAGGGAGGGAGAGGGAGGGAGGGAGAGAGGGAGAGAGAGAGAGAGAGAGAGATAAAAGAGAAAGAAAGAAAGATAGAGAGAGAGAGAGAGACAGAGAGACAGATAGACTGACAGGTAAACAGACAGACAGACACAGACAAAAAGACAGTGAGACAGAAGGACAGGGCGGGATGTAGAGATAGACCGATAGACAGAGGGAGAGACGAAGAGAGAAAGACACAGACTCTATGCAAATGAGCCCTACCTTCCCTGTCTCCGCCGTCTCGTCCTCGACCAGCCTCTTCGCCTCCTCGCCCTCCGCCCCGTCGACCTCGCTCATCCGCTCCTCCAGCTCGGTCACCAGCTCGACCTCGCTCTTCCCGCTCCGCCCGCTGTGAACCGACGTCCGGCTCCCGTGCAAGCCGTTCGCGTAGCTCCGACTCCGGAAATTCTTGTCCAGAACGGCGTCGGCGAAGTTCCGGCGTCGTCCGTGGTCGTGGTGGTTGTCGTTGCCGTGCTGCCGCCCCGCCTTCCGGTTCAGGGACGCGCTGGAGAGCTCGGTCGCCCGCCGCTCGTGGCTGTGCAGGCGGTCGACCGAACTGGTCACCGTCTCGCTGATGCTTCGGACCCTTCGGCCGCGGGCTCGGAGGTCAGTCTCGCTGGCGTGGGCGTGCGGGGACGACGTGCGGATATCGTTAGTTTGTTTTATTCATTTTGTGTTTTTTGTTTATGTCTATGGTACTTGGATATTGTGTTTTGAGTTTTTTGTTTGTTTGTTTATGTCTATGGTATTTGGTATTGTGTTTTGAAGACCTTAAGAACATTTCTGTGGTGGTACATATTCGTCTTCTTGTGCGTGCTTGTATTTGGCTCTTAGACATTCGCTTCTACAATAACTGTACATAAATGGACTGCTTCAATATGTACGTTTATCTAAGCGTGTAATATCGTTCATTTGAACACCTTACCTGCCGATATTGTTAACAGAAGTCCTGCTGGACCTCAACGACAGCTGACGAAGGAGAGGCTCAGCTCCTGTCACGTGCTCCAGCTGGTCAAAGAGCTCTTCATACTCTTTAAGAAAAAATACCAATGCAAGTTAGCTCTTCGGCTATAACAATAGTATTCTTTCGTGCTTTTAAATTTGTCTCACATTTCTCTCTACGCAAGAGTACAACCCAAAACAAATGTAAACATATAAGATATTCACTCAAAATCAATGTTGTCCATTCTTACTGAGTAGCCTACTAGACAAAAGAAAAAAAAAAAAAACGAAAGTCTCATAAAAAAAATCCAAAAATATAAATAATCCTTTCTCATTTACAATGAATATGTCACCTGGATTCGATCATGACATCCTTCCTTAACTGTTCTATATGTTCTTCAAGAATACATGTACGTTCTTAAATCTTTTCCGGCATCTCCTGAGCGAGTAAGGGAAACTAAATGGCTTTTTCCCTCGGCAAGGTCAGGGCCCGTACTAATAGCATTATATAATTTCTATAATGTACCTGCCCACCTGTATCATCTTTGCAACTATGCTTTGATTCACTGATCGTGGCCTTTGACACAGAAAGACGCAATTGTTGTCTTTCTATTAATAAAACTATTTCCGAGTGCACTCCGGTTTCTTTTGGCAATCTACAGGTAGCAATACTGATAATTTTACTGATCATTTTATCGAAGAGTAATATCTAGTATGTGTGTAGTATGAAGCTTTACTCGATGGCCATAAGTTAAGTAAATGTTTGCTATCCATAATGTTTTCTCGTAAAAAAATAATGTTGTTGCATTCTCAGAGCGTGTGCTTACTAATCACTCTAAAGCTATGTCAGGTTAACGTCAAGTTACGATATTAAATCACTAAAGTTAGGCCACAAGTAGTTTTATCTTGGTATAACTGATAAGATAATTGTGTTTTATAGGAAATCAATAACGAAAAATGACGAATGACTTGCGCCAGTCAGTAGAATTCTATCGTTTAGTAGCCTCATATTTCCACCCGTGAAAGGTGTAAACATCTGGCCCTAAAGAATTTCAGATCTTCTGTGAATTGCGGGGGGCACTTCACTACCCAGAATAGCCTACGAGGTTTCCAAGACTTCCGAAATCCCAAAAAATATACCGGAATTTCCAGATTTCCAGACAGATTTGTAGGGGATTTCCGGATTTCGAAGGATTTCCAAAGTTTTCAGAGGTGTTTAAATACCATTAAATCATCGTAAATGTTTAAAAAAACTAAGCTGTTAACCTTTTGTTACCATACAGGTTCAACATCAAATGCACTACTTTACCATAAAACATGATTCTGCTTAAGGTTACTGCTTTTCGTTTTCATCATAATCTGAAGATTAACTACAGGATAAACTATTTAAGTAGCGTTTAAACCCACTCCAGAAATAGCCATAATGACTTGGAAATTTGAGCATATTAAAAGGAATGTTTCTGAAAAAATGCGGGAATAGACATTAGGGGTTTAAAGTAAACACTTGAATTTGCAGCTACATTCATACCATCCTGTGCTACTATTTTACTGATACAATGTTTTACCAACATTGCTTGTCTATTGCGTCATCGTTTCTCCGGTATTTTTAGCTTGATTTTGAGCCTTTTTCCCAAAAGAGGATTTCGTAGTACTGGAAGCTGCTCAAAAATATCAAATCGCTTAAAACGGGACAGAGGGTCACAAAACATATAACTACGAAACCGTATCAACGATTTTTGATAAAGCTGCTTGTCCGATTTAAAAAAAAAGGTCTAAAAGTTTAGAAAAAAGGGTATTTTAGCCATTAATATTAATCCAAAATGGTATTATTTTAAGACGGTATGTTTTTTTTTTTTTTTTTTTAATGAATAAAGGCTATTTTCGAATCTCACCTTCATCAGCCTCCTTGTCTGTCGTGTCGTTGATGTGTTGGAGAACGAAGTTGGCGAAGTCCCCCTGTTTCGCCACCAACTCCGCGTAGCTGCCCTTCTCCACCACTCGCCCGCCCTCCATCACCACCACTTCGTCCACGCGGGGGAGGAAGGTCACGGCGTGGGTCACCAGGAGCCGAGTCTGGTCAGAGGTCACGGTGAGCAGCGTCGTGGTTAAAGGGTGTGTATTGTCTCTCTTTCGTTTTCTTCTCTTTTTCTTTCACTCTTAGTCTTACTCTACCCCCTTTCTCCCTCTCTCTTTCTCTTCCTCAATTGTCTTTCTTTCTCTTTGTCTTCCTCATTTCTCTCTTACTCTTACTCTTACTCTTACCCTTACTCTAACTCTTATTCTCACTCGCACTCTCTCTCACTCTCATCTTCACCCCCTCACTCAATCGCAGTCTCTCTCTCTCTCTCTCTCTCTCTCTTTCTTTCTTCTTTCTTTCTTTCTTTCTTTCTTTCTTTCTTCTTTTCTTTCTTTCTTCTTTCTTTTTTTTCTTTCTTTCTCTCTCTCTCTCTCTCTCTCTCTCTCTCTCTCTCTCTCTCTCTCTCTCTCTCTCTCTCTCTCTCTCTCTCTCTCCCTCCCCTCCCTCCCTCCCTCCCTCCCTCCCTCCCTCCTTCCCTCCCTCTCTCTCTCTTCTCATTTCTCTCTCATCTCACTCCTCTCATTTTCTTACTCCTTGCATAACGCAACGACCTTTGACCTCGCCCCAGGACCCTCCTCACCCTGTCGTGCAGTATCCCCTGAGGCCCGATGACGTTGTCGAAGATGTAGCGTCCCACGTGAGCGTCGACGGCACTGAGGGGGTCGTCGAGCAGCACGATGTCGGCGTCGCTGTAGACGGCTCGGGCTAAGGACACGCGCTGCTTCTGGCCGCCGCTGAGGTTGATGCCCTGCGGAGGTGGGGTCGGTGGGTTGGAAGGGTTGGGGTTGGTTTTGATTAGATTAATTGGGGTCTTGTTTGTATGAAGGCAGTGTTGGGGGTAATTATTCATCCATGTTTTATCCCGTTTTTTATTTATTTATTTATTTTATTATTTTTTTTGTTTTTTAGATAATTTTCTCTTGACAAGAAGTCTACGCTGTTTTTAGTTTGGAGATCTTTATATGTGATGAACTGATACCGTTTTTCTTCTGATAGTGTTGTTTTACAATGTGCTAAAACTAATGATATTTAAGCCCAAACAACTTTTTAAAAACTATGATAGAAACACTTTATCATTATAATTGATATTATTATCAATTCATTATCAGCATCATCATTATTATTGGCATTATTAGCCGACATGATTATCCGACATTATTAGCCGACCTCCCCCAACAGAAACGCATAAAACATAGAAGTATAAGCTAACCTTCTCTCCGATCTCGGTCATGTCTCCTCCAGGTAGCATGTCGAGGTCAGGCTGGAGAGCGCAAGCCTTGACCACCTTATTGTACCTTTTGGCGTCGAAGTGTTCACCCCACGTGATGTTGTCCCTCAAGGTCGCATTCTGGAGCCATGCTTGCTGGGACACGTAGGCTATGCGGCCCTACGGAGAGCGGTTATAGGCGTTCGTCTTAATATCGAAAATTAGTCGAAAATGCGTCTTTAATATCGAAAGCGAAAAAATGAAGTCTTTTCTCTTTATAAATCTTTCTCTCTCTCTCTCTCTCTCCTTCACATGATTTGCACTTAATTGCAACCCACATTTCCACATTTCTGAATACCTGTCATTATCTTGCTACTATAAGTGCAGTATATACAAATATATTTAGGCACAAAATATCTAAATTCACTGTGAATTCACATGACAGAAAAGGAATGTCTTTGGCGATGACTAAATTTTGTTTACAGGCAAAGGATCAAATATCAAGTTCTTTCCTCAACATTACAGTCCAGACCAATGCACTTGTACGTTCCTTTTTTCTTTAAATTTATTTCTTTTTTTTTTTTTTTTTTCTTTATATTTTTCTTTTTTTCTTTTTTTTCTTTTTTTCTTTTCTTGTTTACTTACATTTACCACGACCTTGCCTGCTTCCTTCTTCATTTCCCCCAAGAGCGCTGAGATGAGGGAGCTCTTGCCCGCTCCGACGGATCCCACCACTGCCACCAGCTTCCTGTGACCAACTTCCATGTTGATGTCTTCCAGCTGCCACACCGCCTGACCCTCATCGCCTTCCCAGCTGAATTTGCCGCCTTGAACCGCAATAGCATTAGCTGCAAAGGAATAGTCATATACGATTATCCTAGATTTTTTTTTTTTTTTTTTTTTTTTTTTTACAAAGAATATATGATAATACTTGATCTTGTATTATTAATGAAACTGCCAATTGTAACGTGCCATATGAAAATCATGTATGTGGCTAAACCATATACAAGAAAACTTTATTTGAATTTGTGCTCTTGGGAGCAGCCACAGAGGAATTACGGAAAATAATGGTCATGATTCTTTTCCCTATACTTTTCCAAACACTCATTGATGCA